AAAAAAAAAAAAAAAAAGACGGCATAGAAATGAATAGAAATGAATCGCTAGATTGCTATTGGCTATTTGAATTTGCAATAGGCAATAGCAGGCTATCTAATCAGCAGAGAAGTTCTCCATCAGGTCCTCTCTCTGCTGATTGACAGCAGCAGAGGGTGAGTGCAATAGGCAGCTTGCTATTAGGTATTGCAAATTCAAAGAGCCAATAGCAATCTAACTATTCATTTCTATGCCGTCTTTTTTTTTATTCTGACGGCAGCAGCTGTCAGAATACTTTAAAAAAAAAACAGCAGATAGCACGGGAAGCATTAGCTTCTTTGCTATCTGCCATCATTTCAGGGGAGTGCTCCCTGAAATGAGAAGGGCACCTCCCTGAAATTACTTTTTTCAGGTTGGGATCCCTGTTGTTCTGTTTCAACATTGTTAACCAATGTTCCAGTCTTTGTGAATCTTTGCAGTAGACTTGGCCGGTCATGTCAATGAGTGTATGTTTTGACTGTGTAATGCGTCCATGTGTGAGGTTGAACAAGTACATGAGCACTTGTGGGTGTGTTGATATGATCATTGGTCAGGTCATGCTAATGCCATAGTAGAGGAACCAACATATAAATGTCCAGATGCAGAGGATAATCTGCATCTGGACAAGCGATTAGTGAGATTTATGTAACGATAACTAGTTTCTCTGTGTATGTTTAAAGAATTCCATTATAGTTTTTAACATAATGCCTTATGTCTACTGTGCTGCTGTTTTGAAACAGTGGCAAACATTTTGATATGTTTTCACAATCGATAAGGTGTCTTTAAAATATGTAGGCTTTTAGAGTTGATACCGCAGTAATTGTTGACACAGAACTTCCATTTGGCTGTTAAGCAGTTATGAATTTAGCACAAACACATGCTGTGCTGCATCGATGCACATGCATAAATGAATACAACAATGCAACATGTGGCCTTTATCATTTAATACATCTGCTTAAACAGCAACTCTGACAGCCATCGTCTATGTGATTAATGCCTAATGGTCTATGTCATTAACAAGCTACAGTCACTGCAGGCCTCTGAGGCAGCTGGTAAGTGGCATCCTATGCCCAGATACTCACCAAAGCAGAGGATGGTTAAATGGTGAGATGTACACAGAGCCTGGAGCATCAGCCAAGCGGTGAGCATGGGCATTAGCATCATCCCAAACCTATGGCAAATGTTTGTTAGATATAACACAATTTCAGCACTCGTCAATATTAACCAAACCTCCAATTTCTATCATGTACTTGGTGTTAATAGCTATATGCCCACAAAACTCTGAAGTTAAAGAAAAAGGGTTTTATTGTGTGTGCATTGTTGTGAGCAGGTACTTTCTACACCAGTAGCTTTTGTGATTTTGCAATTGTCATCACTCTATGACAGTGGTTCCCAACCTTTTTTCACTTGCATACCCCTTGGTAGTATAAACTGTACCCCTCAGTGGAGGTGGAGCAGGGGGCGCGGCTAACAGTTAAGCTTGTAATGCGCTGCGCCAAATAGTGGGTGTGGCCACATTGCGCAAACAGTTGGAGGGGTTGATGTCAGTGGGATGAAAGAGGGAGGTGGGAGGCTGGCGTTAGTGGCTTTTGGGTATACCATATTGTGATGGTACGTCCAGGGCCGGATTTACTCTCTCTGCTGCCCTAAGGCCAGGTTCCTCAATGAGCCCCCCTACCCGCCACCCCCCACTTTGTGGAAAATCCGGCCCTGGGTATGTCCAGTGTTAACTTGGGACCTCTTTGGGGTATTGCCTTTGACACATTATTGCCTGGATCTGGAGCTGCTCTGGAGTTTTGGAGCCACTGTGGATTGGAGGGCTAGGCATCCCTGCATGATGGGTGTTTGGGCCATGGAGGATGCAGATGGAGCAAGGGTACAGTCTGGTGGCTCACCCATATGTTGCAGTTCAGGGAGAGCTGCAGCCAGGGCCGCCGTCAGGGGGGTCATACAGGTGACTGGCAGGAGGTAGAGGCGGCCAGGCCCCCGCAGCACCGGAGGAAGCCGGGGCCCGCACACTCGAGATTCCGGTGTCCCCCTGTCTCCACTGCAGTGACTGACTGCACATTGGGTTTTTAAAGATGGCCGCCGCGAGTACGTGCTGCGCTGGAAGTATTTATACCAAGAATATGGCTGCTCCTGCAGCCATATTCTTGGTTCCATTTTAAGGCCTGTTCACACCACTTGCAGTGCGTTCCGGGCGGAACGCACTGCATCGCATTGTGGCTGGCTCACTTTTTGGCCGGGCAGGAGGGGGCCTGGCGGGCCATTGAAGCCACGCCCTCCGGCCGCAATTCGATCAGGTATGCAGGGATCGCAAGGCACATTGTGCATGCAGTGCGTTCGGGTGCGGTACGATTAAAATGCTGCACGCACTATTTTGAACACACTGCAGGCACAATGTGCCTTGCGATCCTGTGCAAGCGATCGCATTGCAGCCGGAAGGTGTGGCTACGGTGCCATTCACTTCAATGGCCAACCACACCCCCTCCAGCCCGGCAAAAAAGTGAGCCGGCCACAATGCGGGCAGTGCGTTCTGGTCGAAATCGGTCCAGAGCGCACTGCTCATGGTGTGAACTAACCCTAACCCTAAACTAACCTGCGTCCAGTAGACATGTGCGATTCGTTTCAGAAAAATTAGTTTTCCGGACGAAATTCGTTAGCTGTAGTCTGTACGCATTTTCGTTTGTGGACACATTTTCATTGCAGAAAACTGACAAAAATAATAAATTCAATGTCACTTTGCTGCAAAGAAACGAACGATACAAACATGAAACGGAAATGAACATTCGTACAGACTACCGCTAACGAATTTCGTCCGAATCCCGAAAAACAAAATAAAGCAAAATCCGAATCAAAACAAGATGAAACGAAACAATTTTTTTGCCGGTGCACATGTCTAGTGTCCAGCGGGTGATGAAGCCCCGAGTCCAGCGGGTGACGAAGCCCTGCGTCCAGCGGGTGACGAAGCCCTGCGTGTAAGCTCCTCTGTACAGAGACTGATGTGACTGTAGTGGGGGGGCGTGGGGGGTGTGTGGTGGTTGGGGGCCCCGGCCTAAAGCCAAGTAAGGGGCCCTGAAATTTCTGAAGGCTGCCCTGGCTGCAGCTGTACTATCAGTGCTCCATGGAAAGTGTAGTGGAGGGGATAGATGCCTCAGAGTGGTGCAGGTCTCACCTGATGGAAGCACGTTCATGGACTGGCAGCCAATGCGACCCTGAGAGAGGTAGATCGAGTAGATTCTCGTGTGACTCAGGACTTACAGTCTGTTTCCCACGCAACTTCCTCTTAGTTCCAAATTGCAGAAGGCAACATCTGCTCTTAATCGAAGTGGAGGGCACATCACTCAGCTGGGGACCGATTGAGGTGTTGGCAGCCGAAACTATTGAATAAGGGCTAGTTCACACCAGCCTCAGTGCGTTCTGGCTCGATTCTGGCCTGAACGCACTGGATCGCATTCCAGCCGGCGCACTTTGTTTTGGGGTGGAAGGGGGCGTGGCAGTGCATTGAACTCAATGACACTGCAACCAATCCCTCTGGCCACAGAAAACACAGCCTCAAGATTACTCTGCAGACTTTCTGCACACAATTTAGTCCCTCACTTCCCACTGCCACAACCTTTTTCTGCCATTACAAAAGATTTTCAAGTACCCCTAAATGTTCTGCGAAGTACCCCTAGGAGTATTTGTACCCCAGGTTGGCAACCGCTACCCTATGACAATGCATAACTTCAACCCTTGTCGTGGTTGTATGTGGTACTGCATGTTTATTGTTGTATTTTTATATGCACGGTTATCAATTCATTTATATTGTTTCATTTTTAGTGACATCTTGGGGAAAAAATGTTTAGCCCCTTAATAAAAAATGACTCTTTAACATACATTTAAAGTGATGTCACTGCCAGCAAAATGATAAAAGGGACAAAGATGATTTCTAAAATACACATTATGATACGGCCACCCAGCTTATTACCTTGCCTGTTACCACCACTTCGACTCCAAGACCCTCCAGTCCTTGGATGATGTTCTGCGACGTCTGTTCGGGCACAACGATTGTGGCAGGCAGCCCCAGTTTATTACAGGCGTATGCAGCTGCTAGTCCAGCATTTCCTCCTGTGTGAGAGGAAGATGGCAGCATTTAGCCAGAAACTATTTAGTGAAATTGGAGTGCTGAAGAAAGGCCAGATAAGAGAAATGAAAGACTTATACTGAAAGACAGAAGTTGGGAATGAGCAATGTGACCTTGAAGATCCAGAAAGTGTAGCAGAGAAGATATAGAGGATTAAATATTTGCCGTAAAGACAGGATTTAGGTACCTGAGGAGCAGACAAATTTCTTACATCCCTGCTTAGCTAGCTGCAAAAAAGAAAAAAAGATTTTTAAATGACATTTTATAGTCTTTGCCCACTGTAGTGAATATTAACATGTTCTGCTTGTGCCCAGCTTAATAAAATACTGCAAAACATAAAAGGCTGGTAATGCTTTATAATTTCCAGGAACCAGGCACACAGTGGGTTTCCTCCAATGTTAGACAAAGCAACACTAGCCTTTTCATCGTGACTGCCAACAAATTGCTTACAATATAGAATCCTGGTATGTGCATTACAGAAACCCGTGCTTAAGGTAATGCAGAGTCCGCAATGGCCGATTTCCTTCTGAAAATGCTAGTCTCCTGGTCATGCCTGGAAGTCATGGACCAGGAATAAGCATGCATCTAATAAAGTCAGACAAGAGTCGAAGCTCCTTTTCTGCATAATTGTTCCGAGTTAGGCTTTGGATCGTCATAACAGTCGGTCAACCTGCAATTTCAAAAGGAGCATTTGCTAATGGCAGACTATTTTCTCTGTAGGATTATGTAACTAGTATTTAAAAATTGTTTGCACAATAAACATAATAAAGATTAAGGGGATTATTTACGAAGGAGTCGAATGATCCAGCCATATCTTCAGCTTAGCCTGCGGCCGCCGGAGAGGGCTGCTGTACGGGCTATTCACCATAGCCCGTACAGCAGCCGAAGGTGGCCGAGTGACTCATATGCCTCGGCTCAACTGAGCCCAAGTGACACCCGAAGCGGGGCAAAAGGCTTGTCGAAGGCCGGCCGTAAGCCCCGCAAATGACAGCTGGGCGGAGTCCTTTATTCTCAGAATAAAGAAAAGAAAAAGACAGCATAGAAATGAATAGCTAGATTGCTATTGGCTATTTGAATTTGCAATAGCCAATAGCAAGCTGCCTATTGCACCCGCCCTCTGCTGCTGTCAATCAGCAGAGAGAGGACCTGATGGAGAACTTCCATCAGGAAGTTGCTGACAGCAGCAGTGGGCTTTTTTTTTTTTTTTTTTTTACTTTGACTGCGGCCCGCAGCTCCTATATCAGAGTAAAAAACAAAACAGATAGCAGGGAAATATTTACTCTGCTAGATCGAGTAGAGTAAACCTTTCCGGGAGAAAATTGTTATCTCCCTGGTGGCCAGGAGCCGCTATCTAATAGCGGCTCACTCCCGGATCATCCGGGAGAGTTGGGATGTCTGGATTAGGTGCGTCCGGGGATAGTGATCTCTACCTAACCACATTTAATCATATCACATACAATTATTTGCGGCGTGCCAGCGTTTTACCACTTTCAAACTCACCTTCGGGGCCTGTTCACATCATCGACAGGCTAGCGTTACCAGGGGCGTCCCGAGGTGGGGTGTAACCCGGAGCGGTTACCGGGTGACACCCAGCCATGACGTCACCTGGCTTTTTTTTTTCTTTAAGGAGAGACTACTGAGTACTGCCTGTGGGCTGAACGAAAGAATTCTAACAGATTTCTTCACCCACATTAAACAGTGAGGATGGACAAATCTCCCTTGACCTACTATTGTATTCTGACAGCTGATGCCCCTGGCTGTTAGAATTTTCAACAGCTGAGACAGAGTAATCAGCTTTTGTCAAGCTGGACATGAATTATTTTGTTCAGGGTCACCCTCTATTAGAATTTTGGCTGGTTCCTGTAAATTGGCTGAAATTCTAACAGCTGACCAGCTTAAAGCACTCCCTTTTTGGCCGACCTTGTATCTCGATTGATATTAACAGTGCACTTATCTATTTGTTGAATATATAAAACAGTAATCATCATATTTGAAGAAATATTTAATAATAGGAAAATGAATTTGTATTTAATACTGCAAACATTTTATGAGTTTCAATCAGATGGTGTTGATGACAGGAGCTACCTGAGTTTATTGATTGAATCCTAACAATGACCACAAGCACCATCTAGTGGATCTATGGAAGTAATAATGCTATGAGATAAAAAGAAAAGCCATGGTAACTGCTTTAAAAGAATAAATCGCAAGTAAAGCGAATGTTTGTTTTAATGTCTGAACAATATAGTAAAGCAGAGCGTAGGGCAAGAATATTTATCTTAAATATGTTAGCTAATTAAAATTCTGGAGGAAATTGAGTAAAAAAAAACCATTTGTTTCTTCGACCTGTTAAAGTATATCTAGACCAAAGATCAAAAATGTTTTTGCAGCTTACCAGTCCTTAGATGTAGTGGCTACATTAGTTTTCTTTTTTGCCAATTTTTCCTTTATTTTCATCTAATGATCCTGCCAGTAACACATTTCCTGTCCTAGGGTGACAATGCTGACTTACCATACTTTATCTGTAAGGAAGCAGCATTGTCACCCTACGACAGAATTATAGAAACATCAGCCTCTTCTTTTCTATTTAACACGGAGTAGAGGGGTTCTGTAGTACTAATAGATAGCTGGGAACAGTGTAACTGATAACAGTGCAGCTCAGGCAGACAGCACAGGAAGTTATCAGATGACATGATTTCTGACAGGATCATAATATTTTTTGCACTTATCAAACAGATTTAACAAACAGCTTTAAAGGGTATATTTAACAGACCAAAGAGGACCAAATAAGAGAAAATAATTGTTGGGGTTTACATACCCGTTAACTTTCCCTTGTATTAATACAACCCCTCTATTTTTGTTTTTAACCCTTCTTTAGCCCTTTCCAACATCCAGCTGGATATGTTTTGTAATCTCTGTATAGTACCATAAGTATTTTTTGTCAAACCTGTGCAGAACAATGGATCTGGTTAGCTCACCCACTGGAAACCCCTAATGGTATATTTAGAGTGATTTTTTACCTTCTAAACATGCACTTTCTGATAGGCAATTCTTTGTATTGTTTTAATTACCATGATTAGCAATTTTCAGCATCACCATTATCAGAAATGTTCAATTTTCAACCCAGAAAATGAATTCCTTTAGTATCAGAACAGTGGGTGAAATACTCATCATCATTAACGTATTCTGTAAATAACTTATCAGCATAGGCGTGCGCAGCCTTTTGCATTAGGGTGTGCACACAAAAGTACCACCTGCCCGGCTTCCTGATTGGATGGGAAGCTGTAACCATGCTCCCTCGCAGCTTCCCAGGCACCAAGGACTGCGGCTGTTATGTAAGGATTGTAAGTGGCAAGTGCTGCTGCGCTTTGTATCGCTGAGCTGGTCACAGAGAGATCTCTCCTCTGGCTCAGCGAGAAAAAACATGACGCCCGCTGTTGGAGTTTCATTGTTGTGCTCAGGGTGATTAGGGTGTGCCCAGGCACAACTGGCACACCCCGTGCGCACGCCTATGCTTATCAGGCTCTTGGTCCTCCAAATTACTAGAAGCTCTTCTATATAACTGTCATGCTAAACAACTTTCTAAAGAACTGGGTTCCTGCCTGTGAATGCAGAGCTGGCGAGGGCAGATATGCAGTACTAGATTAGCGGTTCCCGATACGTGAACATGGCACTAACGAGGGACTTCAGTCAGGGAAGGGGGGTCAGGGGAGGCAGGGGAGGCAGAGCTTCACCTAGTATTATGGAGGAAAAAGCTGTCAGCTTCAAGTCTAAAGCTGACAGCATTTTCTCCATTCAGATCGGCTTGTAACAGGTTACACTGCAGGGAAAGCCTCCCCGCTGTATAACCTGTCATGGATAGAGCACTGCCTGTTAATTACAGGTGGCGCTGCATCCGGCTTTTGACAGCTAAGTTAGGTTACACAGCAGCGGGCTTCCTCACTGCTTGTGAACCTAACATAGTGAGGCAAGAGCTGCAGTAGCCTCTACTCTATGTTAGAGGCTTGACCTCTGTGGATGGTTTGGACCAATGGCAAAGCGACATTGGTCCCAGCAATCCAATCAAAAAAAAGAAGAAAAAAAACACTGAGGCCATCGATCTCGTTGCCTCAGCAGTGACGAGCAAGTGAGGGACAGGGAGGCACCTCCCTGTCTCCTCTCTTCCTCCTCCCTCTCTCCTTCACACTAGCCGGGGCTTCGTCGGGATGGGGGCAGGGCTTCATCAGGATATGGGTGGGGCTTCAACATGCCGGGGGCGGGGCTGGGGAATGCCTCACCAAGAAGCGAAGGTACCACATGTCACTGACTTCAGTATATCTTGTTTTACAAGGTAAAAAAAAGTGCAGGATGGGATAGGAGGTGCGGTTGAGGGGACTTAATATTTGCCCAGAGATGGGCTTTACCATATCTGGCTTATAGATCTTAATACAAAATGGCTACACAGCCAACTTTGCCAGATTGATAATCTGTTTCTATCTGGATCTATATTCCAAAACTGAAGATTTGCCATCAAGGTACAACTAAAAAGGTTTGTTGTGGTTAACCTTACCATAAAAATGTACCTTTTGCCTTGAAAGCTTCATAAAAAATAGCAATGCAGTTTGTGACTTGTGGCTGTATCTAGGCACATACAGTATCTGAGAGTATCTAAGACATATCTTGTCCACTCCAGCCTCACATGACTGATAATTATAAGAGATTTGGAATAAGAACTGGTAATGTCTCTACTCTGTCTGTGTGGGTGGACGCTGTCCTCCTGAGAGCTTGTTGCAGAGGAAGCGGTGCCTGAGGACCTGTGGTGTAAGGATCTGCCTACTTCTGCTTCATTTAATATGTCACCTCTCCTGCTGCTTCTTGGTTATTCTTTCACCAACCACCAGATCCTCAGTCATCGGCGAGGCAGCTCTAACATGGGAAAGTCCTGCTGCTCTACCAAGGTGGCCACCACCATACACGGTGTGAAACAAGGCATTGTGAGTCAGTAAAAGGTCACCTGCAAGGAGGCCACAACAATATTGTTAACCAATCTTTTGTTGTCTGCTTGCCTTTTTTGGGTATGGCTTCTACTGTATAGGTCCTCTTTAGATGTTTTCAATGGCTTTTCTTTCCAGTGTTTCTTATCTATTTAAATTGTGTTTATCGTCTATGTTGACTTGTTTTGACAAAATGTCAAAGATCTTCCTCTATAATAGCTTGAAAGCAATCTTCCAACATAAAACGGGTCTGAATTGAATAGAATTCTCTATTCTGTGTAATAAATATTTCTGTAGCAACAATCATGAAGTGGCTCTCTTTATTAGGGTGTCTCTTTGAAACCTCTGCAAATTAATTACAATTTTTTGTTCACTAAAAAGGACACCTTCAAGCTCATTAAATGTTGGCAGTTTTTCCTCTATTGTTATGGCGGGCTCTATCAGTAAATTGTTTTTTTTAGGATAAGAAATCATAGAAATGTTGAGTGGGAGCAAATGACAGTTCCCTGGAAAGATCATTCATCTGATCTTCACTGAGCACTACTGAAGACAAGATTAACACAGTTTATTTATGGTAAATTATTTAATGAGAACCTTGTTAGTTTTGTGATGTCTTTCTATTCTCCTTGTACATTTGTTCAGTTTGGGTCTGGGGGAAAGTAAGAGAAAGTTCTCTCTTTTTATTAAGCTAGAACTGTTTGTTTTGTAATCTGTTTTGCTCATCTGATTTTAGTCCATTGCTTTGGGTTAGGAGACTGTAGGGGATTAATCTTTTAGCTAAAAATAGATTATTTTGAAATTAATATTCAGTGCCACTATAATTAAGACCTAGATGAGTTTCAATTCAAAAGCATCTTGTGCTTTTTAAGGGAATGACTTAACAAAATATAAAGAATACAGATAATTGGTCATTGCAGTGCCAACCATAACCTGCCTTAGTGGCAAATAAAAAAAAACCTCTACAGTCATAGTATATGTAATCCCATTCATTAAAATTTCATAGAAGATTTAAGATGGCCAATCAGCTGCAGTCATTGTTCAGGTATTCTGACAACAGCAGGCTGTAAGACTACAACAGCCTGGCAGGGGAGATTTGTCTGTCCACACTGTTTCGAGTGAATGGGGAAATTGAGCTTTAACAAGGGCCAGTTGTATGACCAGCTTTAACATGTTAAGGTAATTTCAAAAGTTATTTTCAATAGTAAGAGAGGTGACCAAGAACCCGATGGTCACTCTAACTGAGTTCCAGAGATCCTGTGTGGATTCCAGTTCCAGAAGGACAACCATCACTGCAGCCCTCCACCGATCTGGCCTTCATGGCAGACTGGCTAGAGAGAAGCACCTGAAGGACTCTCAGACAGTGAGGAGCAAGATTATGTGGTCTGATGAAACCAAGATTGAGCTGTTTGACCTCAATTCTAGATGTTGTGTCTGGAGGAAACCAGGCACTGCTCATCACCTGCCCGATACCACCTTAACAGTGAAGCATGGTGGTTGCAGCATCATGCTGTGGGGGTGTTTTTCAGCAGCAGGGACAGGGAAACTGGTTAGGGTTGAGAAAGCTGAATGGAGCAAAGTACAGAGATATCCTCAATGAAAACCTGTTCCACAGCGCTCAGACTGGGCCAAAGGTTCACCTTCCTACATGGCAATGATCCTAAGAACACAGCAAAGACAACACAGGTGTGGCTTAGGGACACTCTGTGAATGTCCTAGAGTGGCCCAGCCAGAATCTGCAGAGACCTAAAAATGGCTGTCCCAAGACGGTCCCCATCCAACCTGACTTAGATTGAGAGGATTTGCAAAGAATGGCAGAAAATCCCCCAATCCAGGTGTGCAAAGCTTGTCATGTCATACCCAGAAAGACTCAAGGCTGTAATTGCTGCCAAAGTTGCTTCAACAAAGTACTGAGTAAAGGGTCTGAATACTTATGTGCATGTGATGTTTCAGTTTTTTCTTTTTAATAAATTCACAGTAATTTCTAAAATTCTGTTTTTGCTTTGTCATTATGGGGTACTGAGTGTAGATTAATGAGAAAAAAAAATGAAACAACTGTAATATCAGGCTGCAACATAATCAAAGGGGTCAATTTATTAAAAAAAATTGCCAAGCCATTCTCCCTGTGAATATCTGTGAACGTTCAGTCTCTGCGAATAGAGACAAAAATAAATATTTTCTTTTCGGGTCCAGTGTAATATAATACCGCATTATGGCTACTAGATGGAGCTGAGGTGCATAGGAAATAAGTATTATTTTTTATGCTCCTCACCTCAATCCAATGGCCATAATGCAGTATTTCATTATATTTGACCTTAAGAAAATATACTAAGAACATTAATTTTTATGCCTGTATTCACATAGAAAGAATTTTCACAGATATTCGCATGGAACATGGCTTGGCGAACTGTTTATAAATAGACCCCTAAATGTTTATTTGTAAAACAAAGATTGTATCTACAAATAAAACTAAAACTTAACATGTATCAACTTTAAAAAAAATAAACACAAAAAACTGGACTATTTTAGTTCCCCTTCAGCACTTGGAGTAGTGTTACAAAGCATCTCATTTGTGTTCAAACAGTAGATTTTATATATCCTAAGTGGTCAGTGCAACAACTGTTATGTTCAGCAGAATAGAATACATTTACTGAATGTAGGGATGCACCGATACAGATGCTAGTAGTCGTACTCGCCCAAATGCTTCCCATACTTTTCCCGATACGGGAACTTTCGGTATCAGGAAGCTGGGCGGCAAGTCATTACACGTTGTCACCAGGGAACATGGAGCTGGTTTCCCGGCCAATCAGAAAGCCGAGAGGCGGGTAATGACTCCTTGTATGCAGCCTTCGTGACGAGGGAGCATGGAGCTGGATTCCTGGCCAATCAGGAAGCCAGGCGGTGTGTAATCACTTGCCGCCCGGCTTCTTGATTGGTCGGGAAGCTGGCCAATCAGGAAGCTGGGCAGCAAGTCATTACCCGCACCCCTGCTTCCTGACTGGCCAGAAAGCCGGCTCCATGCTTTCTCTTCACCTGGTGATGAGGGAGTGTGGAGTCGGCTTCCCGTCTAATCAGGAAGTCGGGTGGCGAGTCATTACACGCCGCCCGGCTTCCTTAATGGGACTTCCAGTATCAGTGCATCCCTAACTGAATGTATTGTACTTTGTATGCCGTGTGCCATGGGAGAGTATTCTGCTCATAATTGGAATATGTACATTTTACATGTGCATAGAATAATACACCTCTTTCATATACCTGTCTCAGTGGCAGTGCAAAACCTATCTTGGAACAAACCAAAAATGTCAGTAGAAATATGCACTATAAATGCACAATATAAATGCACAATTTCACCTTAGAATTCGCTTTTAGCAATGCATGCAAAATAATAAAATAAAAATTGTACATATAAGAAACTTTTATTTGTATATTTGCCTCTATTTCTGACATATTTACACATATAGTAAATGAGCTATAGAAAACATTTAGTGTATTTAGTGTTTTATTTAGTGTTTTTATACAGGTACCTACCTATTGCCAGATTTGAATGTTAACATTATTTTTGTTTGTATTATATGCAAAAATGCAATAACTGCAGAATATTGCAGTAAATAGGTTATTTTAGGATAATTCGATTCAAAATAGACATTTCCTTTATTTTAATTTATGTGCTATTTATATGAGGTCTCCTTGTATTTGCTTAACGCATAACTGTACTTTCTATCAACATACTTGTATTTGTTCCATTTATGGTTAGCTTTACTGAAGGAGAGTCCTGCTTCCAACAGCATGACCTGACTCCATCATTGCTGTAAACATGCGGCTCCTGGCCACCCACCAGTAGAGGTTGCTATTTGGAGGTAGGGGACCTGCTCTACATTGAGTAGATCGAGAAACTAGTCTCCCAGAAGCAAAATGAGATGAGCTCAATGTCAGGAGGCTGCAGGTAATATTGTTTGAAACAAGACTTTTCATTAGAAACAATAATAAATCATATTGACATTTTTTTACAGGCTGCAAACAAGTACAAATGTAACATTTTCAGGGAAAGCACAGTCATGTTTTAAAAGTCTTCCATGTGCTGTTCACTATAATCCTACAAATATTTGCGCAGGTTAATTGGCTTCCCCAAATAGGAGGTTTTCCCACAAGGCACAATAAGAACATCTTCTCAGAAGGAAATCTCCAAAAAGGTTTTTTGAATGACAGAAAATCTACAATTGTTATCATAATACACATTTGGCAGGTTGGTTACTTTACCTTTTGGCAAAAGTGTCCTATACCACGTATCTTAAAGGAGCCCATGGGCTGTATGTTCTCCAGTTTCATAAGAACCCGGGTTCCAGCCCATTTAGACAATGAGGAGCTTTCCTTCAGTGGGGTGACAATGTGAAATGGAACTTCATCCTGGGAATCCATGATTGGTAGCCCTTTTCACTGTTATTGATAAAGAAGCAGTTAATCCACATTCATACTATAAGTAAAACATGTTATTTTACATTAGCTGCTGGCCAACATTAAATAACATTAGATAGATAACTTGATAGTGTATTGGTTAACAAAAAAGTGCTTTTTAAAAGCCCTGGCCATTGCAGTCTGTTAACATGTGTGTGTTTTGTCAAAGAAGAACTCGAGGCATGTACAAAATTAACCCTTGTAGTGGATCTACACCCACACTGCAAAGGTTAAGCGCTCTTTTTGGTGTAGGGTCTAAATAAAAAAATATTCACCAGATCCTCTGTCCCAGAGTTGAGCAGTCACCGCCGCGGGACTGAGGATCAGGTGAGTAAATCTTTTTTATTTTATACCCTAGACCAAAACGAGCCGGAGTTCGTCTTCAAGGCAGCCCATACATTTATGTAGACTTCCAACATACCAAAACAGAACAATAAATGGAAAAGTACCAATATTTGCAACACTGTGCACAACAACGCACAGTAGTTTATTACAATGCATTCTGGTGAGCACAAGTGTGTTGGAGGGTTGTTGGTGCATTGGAGTGACACTAAAAATGAATAGCACCACAACGCACTCAGACTAGGGTTGCCACCTTTTCTTCAAGTGAAACCCGAACACTCTAGCGCGCGGCACATTTGTTTAGGGGGAGAATATAAAGGAGAGAGAGTCTTCAGGTGGCCGGGTAGTTTGTGCGGGCTGTGCGAGCCTCGGGTGGGCTGTGCGAGCCTCGGGTGGGCTGTGCGACAGTAACACTCGGGTGGGCTGTGCGACACTCGGGTGATGCCCATCACATACCATTTCATTGAAGTCTTCAGCTTTGTCATGTTTTTTCTTATATTTGTGTCCAAACATTTTAGTTTCTGTAAGAGTTCTATGAACAATGTTTTGTGCGGTCTGGGCATGTCCAGGCCTGAAATCAGGCCAGGTTAGAAGCTGTTCTGTGGATGTATGCAGCCTGGGCATGCCTGGGCGGGCCTGAGCCAGCTTGACACTGTCTCTGCAGGCTATAAAAGTGGCTTGCATACACAGATGCTGCTCATTGGATTAATATAGACCTTATAGTGTGCACATATTGTTTCAAAATATAGCATTGCCTCAGTAGCAGTGTAACAAGTTAGATGTTATAGACGTTTTACAGGGTGATTGGTGTCGGGCGATCTGTCTCGTCAATGTCGTAACAGCCGCGATACATTCTGCTATATTTGTGGCGAGTATACGCTTGTTCATCAGAGACGCTCAATGACTGCTCTTGTGAAGAAAGCATATCATCTGTAATTCGGCTGTAAAATTGGTGATCAAGACAAGGAATGGGCGCCTCACATTTGTTGTGCGACATGTGCTGTCTGTCTGAGAACTTGGCTCAGAGGCACTCTAAAGACAATGGCGTTTGCTGTCCCGATGATATGGCGAGAACAGAAACACCATGTGACGGACCATAACTTCTGTTTGACTAATGTGTCTAGTTTCTCTGCCAAAAAACGAGAAGTCATTTGAATACCCTAATCTGCCTTCAGCAATGAGACCTGTGCTACATGAAAACAGTTTTCCAATTCCGAAACCACCAGAGGAATGGACCTTAGACAAACCAGATGATGAAACTGCAATGCAGGCAACTGGCAGTGACATTGATCCGGATTTTAAACCGTGCTCCTCAGGCGATCCACATCTCATAACACAGTCAGAATTAAACGATCTGGTCAGAGATTTGGGTCTGTCAAAAGCAAAAGCCGAATTGCTGGGTTCAAGACTGAAGATATGGTGTTTGCTGACTCTAGGTACGAAATGTTCTGGTTTTCAAAGCCGCCAAGATGATATAACCAAATTATTTGCACAAGTTGACAGTCTCTGTTTCTGTGTTGACATCGAAGGATTGTTCTCTGCTTTTGGCTGTGACCATGACCCCCAAGAGTGGCGTCTCTTAGTTGATTCGTCAATGTTAAGCCTCAAAGCTGTTCTGTTACACAATGGCAACGTTCATCCTTCAATACCTGTTGGCTATGCAGCACACATGAAAGAAACCTATGAGAACATGGAAATGTTGCTGAAGCACATCCAGTACAGCAAGTACAAACTGGAAGATCTGTGGAGATCTGAAAGGTTTCACCAGGACATTGCTGCAATGGAAAAACGATATCAGGGCAACTGGAATCCGTCAATGCTTGCTGACTACTGTTGGACACTGCAACGTGATGCATCGGAAATTGAATACAAATGAAAATCAGGAGCAAAACACCTTTATTGATGTTGAACTTAATAGCGTATTAGAAACATAAACACAATTAAATACGTTATTGCTGGTAAACAGTTAACTGTCTATTTCCCAGAGTTCCTAAAAACTTTTCAGGAAGCAAAACTTTTCACAAAAATTGTTGTGCAGTGATATTGGCAAATTTGGACATTCGGATACAATGAGAATTTCCGAATGAAAGAAATAACGAATCCAAACATAACCAAATTTTCCGATAACAAAATTTGGATGCATACTAATTTTTTTCCAAATGTCTTTCGGAATGAACTTTTGTTTTTAAACGTTAAAATAATAAAACCAAAACAGCGTGGAGTCCCCTCCCCAATTCATACCAGACCCTTTATGACTCTGGCATAATCAACAGGTATTTAATACACTTTCAATCAGATATAACAAAACACTTTTAATTGTGTCTTTAACAGACAAAAAGGGACCAGATAAGAGAAGTTTAGTGCTAGAATTTACAAAAACATTCCTAAGATGGAATTTGAAATTTAAAAGGGAACTGTAGTCTTTAATTATTTTAAACATACCTCTGAAATCAGTCTAATAAAACAGTTTGTTTGTTTTTGTATCAACAGATTTTTATTAACATTTTCCATATATAGAAAATTCAGTTACAGTTTGTGCGCACTTGTGTCCAGGGCAGGTGTGGACCTGATCTTCCAGGGTCCAAGCAACGAGGATCAAGGACATTTGCAAATACAAAATAAAAGGTAAGAGAAAAGAGACAATAAAAAAAGAAAAAGGAAAGAGGGGAGAGGGGGGGAAGGAGGAACAGGTGGAGTCGTGATGGAAGTACCCTTACGCACTTCGGTCCTTGATTAGTGGGAGGCAGCAATATTTGGGGGAGCTGTTACAGGGTCAGCAGACAAGTATCAAAGGAAGGTGGAAGGAAATGTATTTAGAGTTGTCCCATATGCGGAGGGAGTGACGGGTTATGTCGCTAGTAATGACAGACCTATCTCTGGTTGCCATCCATAGTAGATTGGAGCACATGGGGGCAGAAGATATCAAATTGGGTGGAGGCCTGTCAGGAGGACGCCCCACCTCCTTAAAGGTACAGAATGGGGTTACTCAGCTGCCAATGGGATGTGCGACGCATGGGGTTTCTCAGCTGCCAATGGGATGTGCGGGATCCCTTGTGTGTTTCTGTACCTTTAAGGAGGTGGGGCGTCCTCCTGACAGGCCTGCACCCAATTTGATATCTTCTGTCCCCATGTGCTCCAAGATGGAGACTCTCATAGTTTAGAGTTAGGACCGCACTATAAGAGGTGCCTTGGCGCGGCAGTGCGGCTTACACATCCTTTGCAGAAGACGTGTATCCAAACCTCTGTCATTGTCCTTAGTGGTAAGACAAGTTGTTTTACATGCTGGTTTGTGAGTGTGCCATGATGCCTTTCTACTGTTTTACTGTTCAAATCCCATTTCGTGTGCACCTTGCTGTATACCTGGCAACAAATTGTTGAGTGCGTTTGTCGTTTGTTTTGCTTAGCATGATATTTAGTCACTGTTGCTAACTGGGCCGCAATGTAATATTTTTGGAGGTTTGGCACTCCCAATCCACCGTTGCACCTGGTCTGGTGCATTGTTTTTTGTGGGATCCTAGGTCTTTTGTGTGACCAAACAAAGGCAGAAAGGCACCTCCGAAAGGCTCGGAGCTGATGAGAGGGTATTGGCGCAGTTAGGACCCGGAATGGGTACAGTAGTTTAGGTAACAGGGTCATCTTGACCGCCGCAATTCTGCCTAACCACGAGATAGGGTAGGTATGCCAAATCTTCAGAAGGTTCCTGAGTTTAGTGAGGAATGGGGGGTAATTAGCCGAGTACAAGGAAGAGTGAAAGGTTATTTGTATGCCCAAATACTTCAATGATGATGGCTCCCATTGGAATGGGTAGCCTGCTTTAAGCTGGTTTACTAGTAGTGGGGGTAGTGTAATGTTTAGGGCTTTTGATTTCGCTGGGTTCAGATATAGACCCGAGAGGTGACTAAACAGGTCTACCGTTCGTAGTAGATTGGGAAGGGAGATGAGGGGGTTGGAGAGGAATAGTAAGATGTCATCTGCAAAAAGGCATAGCTTATGGTGGTGTCCTGCCAGTGGGATACCTGCGATGTCCTGGTGTTCTCTAATCATCTGTGCTAAGAATTCTATGGCCATGGCGAATAGTATATGTGATAAGGGGCAACCCTGTCTGGTGCCTTTCAGGATAGGGAAATGCTTTGATCTGTGCCCCGCATATCTCATCGAGGCCGTGGGGTTGGAGTACAATGCAGTGATCCAGGTACAGAATCCTGACCCGAAGCCCCACTTGTTGAGTAGGTAGAACAAATATTGCCAGGACAAGGAGTCGAACGCCTTTTGCATATCCAATGAGAGGAGCATGAGTGGGATGCGTCTCTGGTTATCTTTTTCTATTAGGAGACAGGCTCTACGCACGTTGTCTCCGGGTTGGCGTCGGGGTATAAAACCAACCTGATCTTTATGGATAAGGTCTGGGATTATTGAGTTGAGTCTAGTTGCTAGTATTTTGGCTAGTAATTTGATATCAACGTTCAAAAGCGAAATCGGTCTGTAATTAGCCCAGTGAGTGTTATCCGTGTCTGGTTTGGGGATCATACAAATGGTGGCTGAGAGAGACTCCGCCCTGAGTTTTTACCCAGTCTGGAGGGTGTTAAAAGCAGCTGCCAACAGGGGGGCTAGGAGTTCAGCAAACTTCTTGTAGTAGGAGG